TGAGATTTGGTGAGATTCCCCAAAATTCGGTAAAACTTGGTGAGATTTGGTGATTTTCAGCGAGATTCACCAAGACTGGGCGACACTCAGTGGGATTCACTGAGTTTTGGTGACATTTGCTAAAACCTGAGATCCGAGGAGAGCGGTGCTGAGGGATGGGGACGGATCCAGAGGGGATCTGGGCAGCCCCAGGAGCTCTGTGAGCCCCCTGCCCCAGGCACTGCTGGACCCATCCGGCCCGGCAGGACCGGCCAGGCGTCAGCCCCGGCACCGCGGGGACCGGGGAAACGCGCCCGGCCTGTTCTGCCAACCTCCCCCACCCTCTGCAAACCCCAAACCCCGGCAGGGGACACGCCAGGACAGCGGGCACAGATTCCCTGGAGCGATGCTGTCTCCATCCCATTGTCCCTGGGGATTTGAGAGGACTCATGGACCAAAATTGGGGTCACCCATATTTGGGGTTGTTCTCATATTGCGAGGCTCATTTCCGCAGTCAAAATCTCTTTTGTTAAATATTTCAGCTTCTCATGAAATACTCTACATTCCATTTCTGGATCCAGGTTTTTAAGGGAAGGCACAGTGATCCTCTCTGGGCACAGGGACAGCCACCCTGCTGCGGTCCCAGAGGGGGGAATATTGTCCCCTGGACCATGTGTGGGACCAGGGCTTCCATCCCACGCTGGCTCAGTGTGGACAGGGGACAGGGATTGTGGGGACTCCATGAGCACCTTCCTGCATGCCAGGATCATGGAATGGTTTGGAATGGGCCTTGAACAGCTGCCAGTCCCACCCCTGTCGTGGGCAGGGACATCTCCCACCAGACCAGGCTGCTCCAAGCTCTGTCCTTGGACACTTCCAGGGATGGGGCAGCCACAGCCGGGTTGGGATGAGACCAGATGGAGCATCCAGGCAACACCTTCCTGCCCTCGGCTGGAAAAGGGTGCGAGGAGCAGGGCTCGGGGCCCGGCTGAGGCTCTGGAGCCCCAGCAGGAGCAGGGCCAGACCAACAGTTCCATCTCCTGGCCGCGGGGAGGGCTGCGGGGACAGGGCTGGGAAAGCCGGGAGTGCCACGGGCAGGGACGGGGCTCCAGCGCCCTTTGCAGGGGGAGGTGTTCCACGAGGGGTTTGGATTCTGCTGATTCCCAGCTGCAAACAGGGAGGCCAGGCTGGATTTTGGGCCGCTGGAGGTGTTTGGTGCAGGGCAGTCCTTGCACCAGTGCCAGCAGCAGGATGAGCTGGGGGATCACCCTGCCCAGCCCCAGGCACTGGGATGTCTTGGGAGATGGGAAACCACCCAGACCGTGGCTGGTGGGGGGACTTCACTGCTCTTCTCCTGGGTGCTGCACCTTGGGGTGAGGGTTCTTGAGCTCCTGTAACCTCCAAGAGCCTCCTGACCCCTCAGAACCTGGCTGGGACCTTTGGGAAGTTGAGGACACTGACTGTCATCTTCACCTGGGGAGCTTTGCTGGCTGCTGAGTGCATCCTGACGTTCCCTCAGCATGCTCAGCTTCTCCCTCCATCGAGCCACCCTCACCTCTGGCTTGCCCACCTGGACAAGGATGTGGTCCCTTGTCACCACCCTGTCCTCATTCCCCCCGTGGCTCCTCTCCTTTCACCCGGTGTTTGGGACATCAGGGACCCAACAACTCCAGTTAACCCAGGGCTGGTCACTTCTCGTGATAAAAGTCCTTAAAAAAGCCAGTCTAGAAATGACACATTCAAATAATCATCATTATGTGCCCAGGCCTACATTTTTTATATTAAGGCTGATTTCAGACACTTAAGTTTGTTTTTTTAATTAATTTCAATTCCCTGGAAAACACAAGCAGGAATTAATTAATTTTTTTTTCCCCTGAATTTACAAGTCCACAAAAAAACACCCAATTTTTTGATGTTAGAGCTACCCAGGCAATATTCCCTCATCCAAACAAACATTCCCAGGTTTAGATTGCTCAGCTCGAGGTTATCTGATCCCCTGGCACTGAAGGAAAAGTTCCAGAAACTTGAGGGTATTTGGACTGCTGACCCCACCTGATGTTCCTCAGAGCTGGACCTGGGGACACCTGAAATACCTGAGATACCTGGGATAAGGTGAGAACCACTTCTCAACATTCCCCAGGGGACATCACTCATCCTTTCTGGCCCCATGGAGGATTCCTGAGGATTTCAGGACATTCCCTGGGGTTGTGTGGCTGAAGAGAAGGTCAACCCAAGAGTCTGTCTTGATGGAAGGAAAAGATCTTAATTCCTTTGCCTCTGAGATCCCGAGATTAGAATTCTATTTTCAGCACTGCTGAATTTCTCGGGGGCTGTAATGAGTTCCAGGTATAATTCACTCTCCATTCCATCCTGAATTGCAGAATTTAAAGTGTTAAGCCATGGCCAGCAGCAGCAGGAGATGGAACACGTGTTTTCTGTCAGTAAATAAGCTTCTTCTGTAGGTAAATCAGATTTTTACGGTATAAATATAGGTTAAGAGAGAAAAAGTTCATGCCTGGAGTCCTAGGAGTTGGATTTTCAGGGCCATGAGGAGTTTGGAAAACAGAGGAAGATAAACATTGTTCCTAACCAGAAATATTTTGGTAATGTCACATGGTAAATAGCTCATCAAGGGGATTGATTACACACAACTTGGTGTTTGCTTATCATCTGCAGCTTGAGCACATTCAGCGCCATTCCCAAGGGATGGGTTTGGAATCTGTGTAATGAGGAAAACATGGAATAGATGGAGGGTAGAAACCAGGATGGGATGTGTGGGAAAGGGTTTCCTCAGCCTCCCTGTGTTACTCTGGGATGGGAAATGCTGTGGGCAGAATATGGAATATTTTTGTTTGTTTATTTGTTTCTAAGGAGTTTCAGGAGCAGGGAATCCACGGCTCCTGCTGAAAATGGGAGCAATAGGAAGCAGGTGAGTTCTGTCAGGATGGCTCTCACAGGTGCTGGACCCTGCAAGGAATCTCAAAGTCATTCAGGTTGGAAAAGCCCTCTGAGATGGAGTCCAGCCATTCCCCAGCGCTGCTGAGGCCACCACTGACCCCTGTCCCCAAGTGCCACATCCCTACAGCTTTTAAACCCAACCACTGCCCTGGGCAGCTGGGCCAGGGCTGCACAACCCTTTGGAGGAAGAAATTTTCCTTAATATCCGATCTAAACTTCTCCTGGCCCAGCCTGAGGCCGTTCCCTCTCCTCCTGTCCCTGTTCCCTGGGAGCAGAGCCTGACCCACCCCGGCTGTCCCCTCCTGCCAGGGACTTGTGCAGAGCCACAAGGGCCCCCTGAGCCTCCTCTGCTCCAGGAAACATTGGGAATTTCCAAAAGCTCTCCCCCATCTCCAGCAGCAGGTCCATCCACAAGTTTCCAAATAAAGTTCCTTCTTAAATTTCATCCTTCACTTCCAACGAGAGATAAGAGCACCAAGCCCCAGCAGGGCGTGTGACAATCTGCCACCCCCCAGAGCTCTCCTGCTTCCCGTGCTCAGATGGACCCATCAGCCACGGGCATTATTAACAGGAACAGGCCTTTGCCACAGAAATTCAAGTCAGGCCTGGGCACTGATAAAGCTGGGCTGACTTGAATTGTCTGTCCCAGCACGAGGGGACAGGGAGGTGACACATCCCTCTGCAGGAGCCCAAGAGCAGAGCCACAGTGCCCCCAGCCAAGGGGTTCAGGGCTGCTCCACCATCTCTGGAGGCTGCAGCATGCCAATTCCTGCCGTGGATCCTCCTGCTGTGATGGCCACCAGCTTCCAGAGGGTCCAGCAAATTCTCCAGAGCAGATTTGTCATCACTGCTCCAGCAGCAGCTCCCAGGGCTTGGTGTCCCTTTCAGCCGTGTCCCGTGAGTGGCTCCCAGCCGTGTCCCCCATAGCGCGGGTGGGTGGATTCGGTTCTGTTTAATAAAAATAACAATTTCCTCCTCACCCCTGCTCCAGGAAGAGGAGGAGGAAGGGTTGGTTGCAGCTGTGCATTATTTGGCACAGCTGGACCCCGGTGCTGGGCTGCTCCAGGCAGGGCAGCTCCTCTGGCATCAGCAGGGGCTGGAGGAGAGCAGCCCCCAGCCCTGATTCAGCAGGAGGAGAGTTTCCATGGAATCACACACTGGTTAATGCTGGAAGGAGCCTCTGGAGGGCACCTGGTCCACATCTCTGCTCCAGCAGGGGCCCCATGACTGTGCCTGCACAGATTTTTAATATTTGCAAGGGTAAAGAGCACACAGAGGCCCTGGGGAACCCGTGCCAGTGCTCCAACAACAGCAAAGAAAGGTTTTCCTGAGGTTTCCTGAGGTGTTTCAGGTGGTGCCCATGGACTCTGGGCACTGCTGAGAAGAGCCTGGCTCCATTCTCCCTTCAGGTATTGATGTGAGGTGATGAGACACCTCTGAGCCTTCTCTTCCCTGAACAATCCTCCCAGACATTCCTTACGTGTGAGGGACTCCAGGTTTTGCCTCATCCTTGTCCCAACTGTCCCCTGTGTGACACTACCCCTTGTCACTGTTGCAGTGGGGTCCCAGATCACAGCACAATCCTGCTGGGGTGGCCTTGCTGAATTTGGGAACAATCCCTCCCTCCTCCTGCAGCCCAGGGTCCCATTCACCTCTTGCCAAGGGCACACTGATGCTTCATGGTCACCCCAGTGCCCAGCAGGACCCCCAGCCCAATCTCTGTCCCAGCTGGGTGTCCCCCAGCACACCCTGCTGCCTGGGCTTGCTCTTCCCCAGGGCTCCCAGGCACTGAGATCTCCCAGATTCTGCCTCCTTTGGCCAAGGCTGGAGGTCCCACAGCAGTGTCCAGCCAGATCTGGCCCAGAAATGAGACCAGAGGCCTCAAGGCTGATCCTGGCTCGTGTGAGCTCAGGCCATGATGCCAACCCCCTGGTAAGGGAGGAATACTCTGAGGAATATCCAGGTGGGCAAGAGCCTGAGCCCAGCTCCCAAAGGGTGGGCACAGCTGGAGCAGCTCTTTCCTGTCCCAGTGAGTTTGGGGCAAAAAGGACCAGCAAAAGGAGTGCAGAGATTGTCAGTGCTTTATTGGTGGTGCCTGGATTCCTTGCAGGGACACCTTGGGACCCCAGAGCTCACCCACAGGGGGGTCTGGGTCTGCTCCAGGCTGGCCAGGGCACTGTGGGAGCTGCTGGAGGGGGCACCATCCCCATCTTCTCCAGGTGATCCAGGATGGGGGGGACAGGGCCACGCTGTCACTGCCCTGAGGCTGCAATGCTCCCACCATCCTCCTCCTCCTGCTCCGTCAGCAGCTCCGAGGGGCTGGGACCTCGTTGGGGCAGAGCCCCAGAGGGCTGCTCCTTCTCCAGGCCTGCAGGAGATGGGCAGAGTGAGGAGCTGGCTGGATCCAACCTCTCCCCTGTGCTGGAGGTGCAGAAGGGACCCGTGGGGATCAGCTCTGGCTCACACAGAGTGGGATGAGCCCAAGGCTGCATCAGAGACGGCCCCACAGGGATGAGGACGGAGAGAACTTGGGCCCTGGAGCAGAAATGCCACTGTGGGGCCATGTCTGGGTGTTTAGTGGCACCCAGGGTGGAGCAAAAAGAGGAGGAGCTGGTGGAGCACAAGGTGGAGATGGCAAAGCAAAGAGAACGGGCTGGGAGGGGCACTGGGAACAGCACCTCAGGGGCCATCACCTTCCTCATCCTGAGCCTCTGATGCCTTCCCCTCCGGGCTCTGGGACAGCAGGGTCAGCCTCTTGAGAGCCAGCAGGGCTTTCCCAGTTTTCTGCAGGGCAGAGAATGGGCACTGAGCCCTTCAGCCATTCCCATCCCCACCCCCATCATGCCACCAGGTACCTGCCACTTCCGACGTGCCAGGAACTGCCTGATCCTCTCCTTGGACAGCGCCTTGGGGCTGCTGGGCTGGGGCTGCTGCAGCCAGGGGTGCACCAGAGCCCCCGCACTCGGGAGCCGCCGGCTGCAGCACACAGGGGGGGTGGGGGGGTCACAGGGGGCTGCTCCACCCTCAGACCCTCACCTGGAGTGTCCCCTCCAGCAAACAGGCAGAGCTCTCCCCTGCCCAGCCCCTCAGCACTCCAAAATCCAGCCCAGCTCCAGCTGAGCTGCCCACAGCCACCCCCAGGCCCTACCGGGGGTCCTTCTGCAGCAGCTGGCTGATGAAGTCCTTGGCTTGCTGGGAGATCTCCGAGAAGATCTCCTCCTCAAAGTCCCACTGGGCAGCTGTGACATTGCTCAGTGTCTCCATGTCGGTGTCCCCCTGGAAGGGCGACTCCCCGCTCAGCCTGAAGGGGTGACCCAGAGCATCAGTGACAGCTCAGCCCCGCTCCAGCCCAGCCTGCCCTGCCCAGGAGGGCACTCACAGGATGTAGCAGATGACACCAACGCTCCACATGTCTGTGGAGAAGCTCACGGGCTCAAAGGCGACCACTTCTGGAGCCATGAATTCAGGAGTGCCGTGCAACACCTTCACAGGGGTGTCTGGAGCTGCAGAGAGGATGCAGGAGGCCAGTTGGGATCTCCCTGGGACAGGGATTGCCCTGGGGCAGAGGACGTGCCCCAGGTGGATGAACGCCCATGCCCAGGTGGAGCTGTCACCATCCACGGCTGACTGCAGGCTTTGGTGCTCTCCTAGAGCAGCTTTGTGCTCTGCCAAACACCCACAGGCATGGGGGCCTTGGGGGTCCCCACCTCAGCAGCAGGACTGGGGGGACACAGCTGTCCCCAGAGCATCGTGTGCTTACCAGGAGAGGCCCTGGTTTGGTGTCCCAGGCAGGAGGACACCAAGCTCCTCATTGCTGTGCCAGGCCAGATCCTGTCCCTGTGACAGTGACAGTCCCTGCCCTGGACCTCCAGGAGCCCCTCCCTGCTCACCCAGTTTCCGTGCCAAGCCAAAGTCGATGATCTTGATCCAGTGGCTGCTGGGGCTGACGCAGACGATGTTCTCGGGTTTGAGGTCGAGGTGGACGATGGCCTGGCCGTGCATGAACTGCAGCCCTTCCAGGATCTGCCGCACGTACTGGGCACTGCTGGGCTCCGTGTGCTCGAAGTCGTCGTCCACGATGCGCTCAAAGAGCTCCCCACCCTCCACACTGGGGACAACGAGGTGCTGGGGACCCCTTGGGGTCTCATCAGCCCCAAGGGAGGGAAGCCCCACCAGAGAGCCCAGACTCAGAGCTCTGGGAAGCATCTCTCCACCCTTATCTCCAGGAGCTGCAGGTTCCCCATCCACCCCACAGCAGCAGCCCATGGCACAGGGACCCCTCCCCACCTGCCACACTGGGGACAACGAGGTGCTGGGGACCCCTTTGGGATCTCACAGCCCCAGGAGGGGAAGCCCCACCAGAGAACCCAGACTCAGCACTCTGGGATGCCCTGACCACTCAGAACTCCAGAGTCACGAGGTTCCACATCCATCCCACACCCCACAGCACAGGGACCCCTCCCCACCTTCAGTGCTCCCCCTGCACAGCCCAGCACTGCCCCACCACTCACTACTCCATCACCATCACCAGCTCGGCGGGGCCCTGGAAGGCGTCGAGGCACTGCACGAGGCGTGGGTGATGCAGGAGGTTCATCAGCTCCACCTCAGCCCGAGCCGCCTCCTTCTCCTTCGCCGTGCGTGTCCGGAAATATTTCCCAGCCCGGATTTTGCCGGTGGCCTTTTCCTGCAGCCGGTACACGGTCCCGAATTTCCCCCTGGGACAGAGGGAGGATGAGGGATGGAGGAGCCACCACCCCCTGCCTGCATCCCACCAGGGCTGTGCAAGGACAGCCACGGGCCATCCCCAGCTGGTGGGGACACGGGACCCTCACTCACTGCCCCAGCTTCTCCAGCTGTGTGTACACATCCGAAACCTTGTCCTGGCTGTTGATGACCACGTCACGGTGTTCAAATGCCTCCTCAGCTCCTGGAGGATGGATTAAGGTGGGCCATGCAGGGATCCCTCATGCTTTGGGGATTGTCTTCCCCTCCAGTGCTAATTTCTGTGTCCCCCGTGCTCCATCTGGGACCAACCACCCTCCCCACACAGTGTGGATGGCACCTGGGGAGAACATGGGGACAGGAACTCCTGTCCAGCACCCTGCAAGTCAGGTTTCGGGTGAAAAGGTGCTTTTAGGATTAAAAATCCAAGAGAAATGGGGCCAGGATGGAACAGAGATTGGTGCTGACAGGGGGGATGGATGGGGGTCTCACCATTGCTGGGGTCCCCAGTGCCCCCCTGGGGACACACCCAGGGCTCTGCTGTACCTCCTGCCTGGGACATGGTGGTGCCACCGGCTCCTTACAGGGTGCTGGCACAGTCAGGACAGGCGCTGGATGTGTCCCCCAGGCTGGGGATGAGGGTGCTGGGGCAGGTGATGGCCGTGTCTCTGCTCCAGCTGCTCCCTGGGGCTCTGCACCTTCTCCCTGGCACAAGAGACCACCAACATCCTCCACCAGCACCCACACTCCCCTGCCCCCCGAGGGGTCCCTCTTGATGGACCCAAAGGGACCAAGCCAGGTTTTAAAGCAAGGCCCCTTTTTGGATGGAGACATCCCCTGGAGCACCTTGGGCTCCAGGCCGATGTTTTCCTCATGTGCTGTCTTACATCAGCCAGGAAATCCCCAGGAAAGCCACACTTGTAGGGCAAAGGAGCTGCTTCCTTACACGTCCCCTCCACACTCTGTCCCCAGAAAGACAGAGGAGGACAGGGCAGACAGACAGTGACACCCAAGGGTGTCAGGCAACAGCACCCAAACCCCAAGCCGAGAGTCACAGCACTGACCTGTCACTGTCCCTCCTGTCCCGGGTCACCTGCGGGTCCCTGAGCCTCCCCAGTCACTGCAGAGCCACCACAGAGCTGGGGACAGAGTTGGAATGGGTGATGCTGGAGGCTGAGGATAACTGGGACCATTCATACGGGGATGTCTTAGGGTGCAGCTGGGAGCACTCCTCCCGCTCCAGTGCTGGGAACAGCCCTGACTCTCCCCTCCCTTTCCTTCCCAGCAGAGCGCTTCCGGACCTGGGGGATAAACAACCCCCACCACCCACGGGCTGTCCCCAGATCGTGCCCCAGCGCCCCGGTTGGCACCGAGCAGGGACACGTTTGTACCACGGGGAGCTCAGGCAGGGGAACACCAGGCTTGGGAGGCTGCAGAGCCCTGACACACCTCATTACACAGCAGAGACCCCTGCCCTGCCCTGCCCTGCTCTGCCCTCCCAATGCTGAATCTGCGGCCTCTCACGGGTTAAATCCGCAGGCAACCCAGCCCCGGCCAACCCCCGCCTCTGTCCCACCCATGGGTGGGTTCCTGCAGAGGGGTTGAGCACCCACACCTGCCCTCCCCGTCCCTGCTCCACCTGCAGCCACTGTCCCTGCGGAGCCACCGCTGTCCCCAACACCAGCCCTGGGCTTCGGCTTCCTGGGAGAGCTCGGCCCTGGCTCCAGGGAAGAGCGGCTGAAGGTGAATGGGAGTTGCAAAACTCCTCCGGGCCTCCAAAGCAGGTGGTTTG